TTTTATCTCAAGGTTTTGAATTTTTACCTTAAAAATTTAATAACCTTTATGTTATAATGAACAGTTATAGTCGTATTTTTCAAATTTAATTAAAAAAATTTAAAATACTTTACCCTTTTAGCATTATTTTAATCATTTGTATTTTGGAACAGTCTTTATTCTACCAATACATAGTCCTTTTGAATCCAAAAGCATCTTTCAAAAGACTTCCTTTCTTGCTGGGTGTGGTGGCACACGCCTGTAGTCCCAGCAGTTGGGAGGCAGGTGGATCTCTGTGAGTTCAGGGCCAGCCTGGTCTACATAGTGAGTTCCTGGACAGCTCAGGCTACAGGGAGACTCTGTCTCAAATAAAAAAAAAAAAAAAAAAAAAAAAAAAAAAAAAAAACCCTCTTTTGTCAAAAATATATCTCATACCTATAACCTTTTAATCTCCATTATTTTCTTCACCTTCATTGTTTCATAAAAAATAGACAACACTTTACTGAGATAATTTAAATGAAAATCCAGGCCTACATTTAAAACATAGAAAAAATATATATGGCATCTTGAATATCCAACAGTAATTAATTACAAGTAAAACAAACTATTTTTTAAAGATTTAAGTCAGTATAACAAGCACTTTGAAATTATTTTTGTTAAAAAATTCACTTCTCATTAGGGTTTGAGGCATTCAGAGGATAAAATTTTGACATTTTTTACTTATTGTTTTGAGCCACTCAATAACCTTTGTATGTTAATCACTTAAGTATTTAGCTAAACTGTTATTTTCTTTAAAATTCAAAGTGCAGAGATGAATAATTATAAATATATTGTTATAATGTAACACACTGGTATTATCTATAAACTTTAAGATGTATTTGTACTCCTTGAAGTAGGTTTTTTAGGTGAATAATTTTAAAAAATGTTTAGAGCTGTTTTTACATAGGCTTGGCAAAAACAGGGACTTTGATAAACCTATTTGTTGGATTTAAAGAGACAGTAGTAGCCTTAAAATACTATACACACACACACACACACACACACACACACACAGACACAGACACACATACAGACACAGACACAGACACACAGACACAGACACAGGCAGACAGACAGACACACACACACACACATAAATCCTCACACAAGAGGAACCATGTTGCAGAGCCAGAATTGAGACAAGGATCAAGGAAATAACATCTTAACCAGAACTGTGTAATTTAGTATATCTTGTGTTTAAAAAAAAAACAAAAACAAAAACTAAAAATGTTCTTTTTAAATACTTAAACTGAGGAACTCATGCTAATTCTTTCAAAAAGATCTAGGACCATTAGTTGCCCCTACTTGTTTCTCTAAAGTAGTCACATTGATTTAATATTTTCAACTGGCATACTGTACTTGTGGCCAAGCTAACTTAGTATGTTGGAATTTGGATCTTTTCCCTTAATATTTGAGTATTTAAGTCAAAGGAAAGTTTGGGTAATTAACTCCAGTTTACATTAGTGCTTACTTATAAGCCAGTTTGAACCCAAGTAAATTACTATT